CTGCTGCAAGACAATTTTGAAGTATCACCCATCAGTTAGATATTGAAAATTCAGATAAATGTTAAAGAAGCTGTTCTTTTCAAGGACTGAGATGCCTCTGCTATCTTGCCTACTGCTATCAGTGTCTTTGACCCATTCCTTGGTTATGAAAATGAGACTGCCTTCCTTCAGTATAATGTCCTAGAACATAGGGGAGTCTGTGTGCATAGTGATGGAAGGTGCCCAGTTTTTCATAGTTGGACTATATAAGAACATATTCCCATTGGTGACGCATAGGGGTGCACACGCACCCGCTGAGATTGGTGGCATTCCCCCATGAAAAGCGCCACCGACACTGCCGGCAGCCCCTGCAGGCAGTCACTGCTCACCACCGCCCATCCCTCCCCTACCACCAACACTGCCACATCCACCTGTGGGAGCTCCCTGCTCAGCCCACCCCCTCTGCTGACACCGCCGGGGCTGCCTGCAGGAACTCCCTGGTCATCACCGCCATGCCCCCGCCGCCGACACTGCCGACACTGCCGCCTGTGGGCTGTTGCCATGCCCCCCCAGCCTCCGGGGGCACACAGCGTTCATGTATACTGCTACACATGACCCTTTCATCTATAGCCTTGCAGCCCAGAGTCTTTATGTGCCTGATAAGCTCCCCACATTTCACAGCAGAGCAGTATATAGTCCCCTTCCCCAGCTTCTTGGGGACAGTCTTGTAAAGGTGGGTATTTCTGGTGTTTCAGTTAGGCTCTGTGTTGATCCCAGAGGCTAACTGGAACCCTGGTATGGTCCTCTGGCAAGCTACAAAACACTGGCAAAGGGTATTTTCTGAGTTGTTTGGCAGAGCTTGTCAGAGCTGTACAGAAAGGGTAGCAGGCCACGTGGAAAATGAAGGGCTAAACAATGAGCAATTATATATAAATCAGCAAGTAGCCCCTTGTATGTAGAAGATGAATAAGACGTAAGGAGGTAGGAAGTGTAGGAAGATACAAGTTCAGGAAATCATGGGAATAACAGTGGAGGGCTAATTACATTTGATCCCAGGAACTTGTACCTTTGCTACCTCCATACTACAAAGTGCTTAAGAAGGAGGCCAGGTCATACTTCAGCACAAGCTCCCTGCTATAATCTCAGAGAAGCAAATTGCCTCAGGTTCAGTGTGCCCCTGGGTATATATTAAAGAGCATTAAGCATAGATTGGAGAGGGGATGGAGGAGTTGGGTGACGATGGCTGACACAACATGCAGTAAGCCTTCCATGTAGTCACACCCTAGCTAACTCAGACAATTTAAAAAATACGACTTAATGTGAATGCTCTGACAAAACACCTGTTAAAGGGACTAGACCATCTGTACTGAATAATCTGTACTGTCACTAAAAAGACCTTTTGCCATATAATTCATTTTATTGAATAGATTCTTAATTGTAATTTTAAATTCTTTGTTTCAGAGTTAAATCAGAGAATCTCACTTATGCTATGGACAGTGCTATAGCCACGCTGGTTTTTCGAGAAGCCAATATAGTATTGATTTATCTCATTCTTTATTTGGTATAAATTGGTCTGGAGAATCACCTCATTTACTCTCTGTCATTTATCATGTATTTTCTTGGTCTTATTCTTATAGGATAACTAATGTATTTCTTTTATAGCTCCATTGGCAATGATCATTATTTTTCCTGAACCAGAAACATTACCCAGTAGATGCCAGGGAAACATCACTTTATAGCAAAGGTTTATTGGCTTTCCCCAACGCTGCCAAGAACCTTACACCATGGGTAGGTCAGCAGAAGACATTTAAGGCAGCAAATTTCCTCTCTTCCTGACCTACAGCATGCTGTTAGGGTTTGAGAAGGAAAAGACAAACATATTAATATAGTGTTTGTCTATAATATAGTGTTGCCTTCAGCAGGTTTTTATGTATGAGTAAAATTAAGCACCTGACAAGTCATTGTAGGACTTGTGTCTAAATAATGCAGTCAGTTTCTAGCAGTCTATGATTTTTCTATACAATTACGTCACTAGCTTTGTAAAATCAAGTTCATGTTTACAGCTGCTTTGCATTTCCCACTTGTCACCTATAATACTGTAGTTTTCTTGGTTTTATATCAGGGATGTCAAACTCATCCAGCCACATGCACTGGAAGAGGGGCATGAAGCCAGTTTGAGGGCCAGATCGGGTATACACACTAGCTCCACATTAGCTGCCAGATTCAGCCTGCAGGGCTGGTTTGGTATGGGTGCTGCATGCAGCATGTGCCCTGGACCAATGCACATGGTGCTGGCAGCACAACTGCTGACTCCAACCCAGTGGCAGACTAGGGCCACAGCCCCCAGGTGCTGGTCTGGGGAGCTGCTGGTGGGGCCCTTCAGAGTTTTTATCACACACCATGACTTTAAGTATTACTATGAGAAGTATGGGGGGGCGCACAAATTCAAGCATTTGCCCCTGAATGCCAGAGACCCATGGCACGTCACTGCTCCAGCCACACACACCACATGCAACATGTGTCTGTCCTGGCCCCACGCATAGCACATGGTACATGGGGCCATTCCAGGGCACGTGTTACATAGTGTGTGGGGCTGGTCTGGAGCATGCAGTGCATGTGGCACCTGCACCAGACTGGACCTGTGTGTTGGATTGGGCACAAGTGGCCTGTCTGTGGATCCAATTTGGACTAACCCTGGATCCAATGTGAAGGGTCAGTCTGGTGCGTGTCTGCTGCAATGTAGCATGCCTGTATGCTGGATGACCCAGGTCCATGGGCTGGATCTGAACCGCAGGCTGTATCTTTGACATCCCTGCTCTGTGTCATATCATGTGTTTATACAATGGCTAGCAAGGTTAGTCTTATAAAGGTGTGAGACTTAGAGTAGAACTCAAGAGATCTAGGTTCATTCCTGGTAATTCCACACACTTTCTGGTTGAATTTGGCTAAGTGCCCTTATATCTATGTCTCACTTCCATTATATAAAATGCAGATTACATAGTACAGTCTTTTGGTGGCATTATCATAGAATCATAGATTCCTCATTGTATTATGAGTCCCTGAAATACAGGGACTCTCTTATCGGATCTGTATGTGTAGGTATGTTTTCCTGAGGTCAATAGTAATAGGGAAGGATTCAATGACAAAAGAAAAAGGATGGTGAATTAACAATCCAGGAATGGTTCAGTAGCTCATAAATGCATCACATTTCATGAACCACCATGACATAGTGACCTGAAGAACAATGCATTGCATTAGAAAGCTTGTCTAAGTCTATCTCAGCTATGCAGTTGGTCCAATAAGAGATATCACCCACAAAAATCCTTTCTTCTCGCATATAAAATACTTGTTCGTGCAGTTTTGCCGGGCTAAAGCTGGGATATGCAAAATTCCTACTGGTGTCTATGAAAGAGCAGATTCAGAGCCAGCATTTTCTATTATGTTTCCTTTATTTTCACCTCAGAGTAATTAGCAGTACTTTTGTATATCTTAATTTATATAATTGATGTTTTAAAATCACCCCCATCTATATTACCACAGAGTACTGGACTGACAGTCAGAGATTCATAGCACTACCAAAAATCCATGTTGCTACTTCTGAAAAGTAATGCATTTCATTTGATATATCCGCATTGCATTGTATAGAAAGTGCTGAATTTAGTACAAAGATAAAACTCAATAAGCATTACAACACCGGATCCAGAGCCAGTTGGCTGCCTTGGTTAGTGTAACCAAATGCCAACAAAACCAAACTCACTTGCTATGAAGACCTCATGCTGAATAAGAAGCTGTTGCAGAGAGAGAGGAAGATACTCTATGCAAGAGTTTTCATCTCTTCTTTGGATTTTCCAACAGAAAAGATAATTTAGACAATGAAGAATACCTGTCTCTTCAAATACTAGTAAATTCAGAATTTTCATACCTTAAACAGTTGAAGTTGGTTGAACTGAAGCCTGTTACCATTATGCAGCTTTTGTTAAGTTTGGGCCCACTGCGGATGCTGACCTGACTGGAAACTAAAAGGGCACATCCTATTGCAGAAACTAACAGGAATTGACTTTGCATTTGATGAGCTATATGATTTGAAAGTGTCTGCTCTGCAGAAAGTTGTTTATAAATCTGTCATTTTTAAACCTTGATGGATAACACATATTAAATTTCCAAAGCCAGCATTTCTCAGCACAGTATGAAGCTGCCTCCCTGAATATCTGCTGCAGGTAGGCAGTGGCCTTTGACTAGTCATTTTGGGAAGGTTCCACTTTATAAAGCAGAACTCAGTTTGGACAATAAAAATAAGAATAATTTATCATGTCACCTGTACAGATTGCTGCAAAAACTGTATACTGTTGCATGCATGTATTGACTATAATCAGCTTTATTTACATTGCTATATTTTTTCTATAGTAGGAATTTCTCCTAATACCTTTCTTCAACATCCTCAGTATTATCATAAAATAAATATAGTGATGTACATATGTTACACATGTTACATTATATATAATATAACATATTATATATGTAATAAATTACTCCCAAGACTGTAACAAGCAGGATTCACACATTTAAATGAATTCAAAAAAAACTGAACCATTTCCAATTTCTTCTATCCAAGCATCACTTAAGAAACTGTTTGTTCAGTTCAGTTTCATCTCTGCAGCTGCCAAACGATTTCAGTTCTGCCAGCTCTGCTCTCTGATTGCAAAATAAAGGGTGGTCACTTTACAGTGTATGGAAGAAATATTACCATTTTGTGAAAAGTCTGACATTTAAAAATATTTTCAATTGTAAATTACTGTGGTACCCTGCTAAGAGTGTATTTAGTAAAAAAAGAGAGTGGGCTTCATTCATATCTCCATGCACTGCTATAAAATTAGTGAATACAGTATGCAGAGTCTGCATTCTCTAAGATTGATGCACTTTGCTGCAGCTTACATTCATAAATATTTTTGTAGTATAATACACTGTCAAAACAAATCTGTTTTCTTTGCATGTGTGCGTGTGTCAGGGTGTCTTTACTGCTTCTTGTCCATCTTTAATGAAAACAATAGGAATTTTATTTTGCACAATCTAGCAGATCTCATCTCACTTTTTGTAGATAAAAGTCCCCCCGCAAAAGGAGGTGGTGGAGGGGAAGATGTGAGGAAATAAAGCAAATAGACACTTAGCATATGAAAAATGTTCTTGCATAAATGCACTAGCCATTTCTAAATCTCTCTCTGAATGTCTGGCTATTCTGTGTGCATACTGTATACAGACACACAAACAAAGACCTACCATACATTAGAGATCTGCCAATTCTAGTAGGAGAAAATAAAAAATGCCCACTTTACACAAATGTTTGCTGCACACGCATTTTGTTTAACCAAGTATAAGCAGCATAAAATTATTAGATCATGGGTGCTCATGTGAACAGCTTCTCAGTGTGTAAGATAAAATGTACATGTTCCACAGGAGTTTTTCTCTTAATATTTTTCTTCAAAAAAGTAGAAGAATAGAGAACATGAAGTTGCTTGCTAGCCAACTCTTACAGTTTTTGGATGGAGATAATCTCCTTCAACTAATGGAGAAATTAAGTGGGGCTCTCAAAAGTAAGGATACAGTGGTGCTCAGGCTTATTAGCTATGAAACTATCTGTGTATCCCATAAGGTTGCCAACCCTCCAGGATGGCCCTGGAGTCTCCAGGAATTAGATATAAATCTCCAGGAGACTACTGTGAGTCACCTGGGAGATAAATGATAGGGCATTCATTAAAATAAATTTTAAATGTTGAACCCGATTCATATAGTACTCTAGTGGGTTTTTAAAATGTAATAGTAATGTGCATTTGCCTTCCTGATGCAAAGTCTATGCACCGTAATCCGTAACTGATACACAAGCATGAGGGCACATTTGCATTGTGTGTCGTGGGTATGTTGGCATTCCAGAATCCTCCTGGAATAGATTCAAACAGGATTAGCAACCCTACTATCCCTGATGATCTCAGTTATTCAGCAAAGACTTCTATGAATTAGTTCTCTTCTGAGTACACTTTATCCAAGTGGGAGTTCTGTCAGCAACTTCAAAGGGTGCACAACTGGGTTAGAGATATGAAAATACCTTCAGCAAGATTTGGGTTTCCATGCGACTGGCATTTTGTATTGTTCAATGTGCTATTTCCTTAGACTCATTTCTGTGCTTTCCACATGCTGGGTTGCACTTTACCTTATGAGTAGATCCATTCAGTCCTGAGATCTGTTTTGGGAGAAGGACCTTGTTACTAAGGATGCTTTTCCCATTGTTTCATACCTTGCATCCTCATTTATACCAGCACAGAGCGAGTGAAAACTGGTAGTGAAATGACCAAATCAAAATAACAGCACTTTACCTGGTCTTTGATTTTTTATGAACAACAATACAAGATGGAGAGCTGCATCCAGTGTGACTGCAGATGGTTGAATCACTTTTTTTCTCATTTGACATGTATATGTTTTTAATTGTCTCATAATTAATACTCAAGGTAAATTTTACCCTAAGTAATACTTCCCATTTTAATTAACCACTATGTTAGTACGTATGCACTAATGCCCATAAGCCAAATTCTGCTATATATACATGCAGGCAAACCGTCTGAGTTAGCAAGAGTCAAATAGACCCATCAATGGGTCCCACTCCATCAAGCCGTGAACTCAAAGACATGTACTCTTTGCAACACAGCAATGTCCCAGTTGCCATTCCAGCTTATACTGCCACATTATGATGGCTGCTCTCTGAGGAGTAGCAACGAGTTTGTTTATGATTAGTTTATCAATGTTTATAAAGTACTGCACTTAAGGGGATAATATATTGATAAAATACAGCTCTAAAATGTACTAAATTTCCACATTATATTTAATACTAAAAATATATGCTGTGGGCGTGGAATGCGAGGGGCCATACCCCACCCCCACAAACAGTTTCTTTACCACCCCATCTGCCACCCCAAATGTTATGTCTCAGGAACACCACTGCTTTGCAGCATGTTTTATTATTCAAGTCTTGGTGGGAGGAGAGCCACAGAAAGAGAGTGTTAACTGCAAGGCTAGAGAAACAGTGTTAATCTTAGACCTGGGGCGTGCCATATAAGCACCACTGAAGCTAAGGCAGTTGCACTCACTTCCACTGGGTCTGTATTCACCATAGACAGGGCCAAATTATGGCAAAAATTGTTACATTTATGAGAGTAGTGCAGAAAAGGAGCAGAGAGAAGAAGATATGAACATATTTATCAAAGAATTAATAAAGAGGCTAAAGGTATTTATGTAGGCAGGGAACATATGGAAGAGGGAGAAGGCAGACTTGCTGAAGAAATGATTTGGTTTCATTATAAAAAAAAGGAATGAGAATAGAAAAAACCTGAAAGTTTAAATTGTTCTCTGAAGCTATTCAGCAGCTACACTGGGTAGTAGCTAGCCAGGGCCTGATCCAAAACCTACTGAAGTTAATGGAAAGATGCCCATTACTTTGGATCAGGCACTTGCTAGGAAGAAATGCTGCTGGATAAGAGTCAAATGCTGATGAGTGCTAATGGGGGTTTAAGAGATGAAGCGTCCGGTTTGAAGCACTTATTGGCTATGTCTACACTAGAGCCAGCTGCCAAAAATATTTCCATCACTGTTAGCACCAGTTGAGCTCTAGTAATGGCTTCCAGCATTCTAATCACTGTCGCCCAACCCTTCTCAGAGCACATCAAGACTAATGCTGGCTGTAATTTTTCAGTGACCAAATTTCAGTAAAAAAAATGCAGTTTTGGGGATAATGAAACAGCCCAGGGACTTGGGTTAAGTTTAGTAAATAATTTCAACTTAAAATATTGTGCGGGGTGATGTTTGAAAATCAAACACTTTGTCTTAACATATTTCAAAATGAAAGATTTTGACTTATCGTCCCAAAGTGCCTTTATGTTTTGAAGTGGACCTTTCTTTAAAAAGTGGTAAAAAAGTTAAAATAAATCACAAAATAAGCAAAATATTTGCTGTGTTTAAATGTTTCAAGTCAACTCAAAGCAATTTTTCCCTATTATTTTGGTCCCAGCCATTGACCTGAGACCACCCTAGTTTAGACACAGCAGTGGTTAAAAGTGCTATTATACCTTTTGCCCTAAATGATTAACTAATGCTTGCTGAGATACTTCCATTAGGAGGAGAAATTGATTATGAGTCAGGCATTTCTTTGATGCAATCCTATTTGTGTTTGGAGTCACATTTCCCTAAACAGAGTAGGAACAAACATCAGTCAGTGGTTCCCTTGCTTGCTATTCCAAGCCACCAACATCTTCCATAAACAAGCTCTTCTGGACCCCTGACAGTGATTTTTGGCATTCTGCTTCTAAGGAACATACATGCACATAGCTACACTATAATCAATGCCCTAGACCAGGGGTAGGCTACATTTTTTGGCTGGAGTGCTGAAAAAAACACAATGTCTACTTTGGAAGGTGCTGGAGTGCCGACATGCTGGAGCCTGGAGCAACTGTTTGCAGCCTTCCAGCTGCAGCCGGCCCACGAGGCCCAGTCTGCTTGCAGCAGGGCTTGCAGCCTCCCAACTGCCTGCTGGGAGCAGCCTGGGCTCCGTGGCTGGCAGCAGCTGCTTAAAGCCCAGGCTGGCGGTGTGTGCCAAGCAAAATGGCATTGCATGCCATGCTCGGCACACGTGCTGGGGGTTGCTGTGCCTAGACCCTGTGTTTCAGTCCCTTAAAAATAAATCCCTGTTATCTGGCACGAGTGGGAAATGAGAGGTGCCAGTAAGCTAAAAGTGCTGGTTTCCTGAGGCACGGGGTTTCTGGCCAGCATGGGGTGGCGGGGTGGTGGAACCACTGCCCATGGGTAAAGGGATCCTGGCTCTGATCCTGGGCAGGGCGGGAGGGGCCGGTACTTCGGTCAGGTCCCAACCCCCTCCACATTTGGCCATGCACTTCCCCCCAAATGCCAGGGCAGCCTGGCCACAGGCTGCTGCAGCAGGGGGAGGGGCGCGCACACAGCCAGGGAAGAAAGTGACACAGCAGACAGGAATGTGGTAGGGCATGGTGCCATGTGCACCCTGTTGCTGAAATTCCGGTTAATGGCGTATTCCAGTTAGTAAAATCCCAGATAACATTTCAGTAAAAGCTTGCTTGGGTGAAAAACAATGTTAACCTGATTTTGTTGGCCAGGTGAACAGGACCACTTCACATTAACCAAGAATACTAAGAAGACATAGCTGTTCTACTGCTTTAAGGGAAAGCTGTCAACTTGCATGTGGCCCAATATTAAGATTTTTCAAAATCAAACTACTACAAAACCTAAAACTAACAGAAAATTCAACTATTAGTGTAGAAAGTGGAAATAAAATAGATATCCAAAAGAAGAAAAGATAAGAAAAGCTGTTTATTTCCACTAGGCCAGTTTGTGCATAACATAACATCAAGGCCAGAAACAGCCCATGGGAAATCTGACCCAGAGAAAGGAGCTTTCCACTGTTGTAAAACTGGCAGAACTGACCTCAAATCCTCCATGTAGGGTCAAGGAAGTATGGGTCAGGACATGTCAGGGGAGCTCAGCTATGTCCATTCTCCAATATAATATGGTCTTTGACAGGCAGTTGTACTTTGCACCAGGTTTGAGCAGTGAGGAATCAGGAAGCTACAGCTGATGGTTCCCCAACCTCAACCAAACTGAGATTAGGTAGGATAGGGAACCTCCCCTATTGAATTCAATATGTGGAGTAAGATGGAGTTCAGTACAAGTAAGGTTAGAGTAATGTTGTAGCCATAATGGTCCAGGAATTATGCAAGAGGCTATTTTTGGGTGATATATTTTATTGGACCAACTACATGGTTAGGATAAAGTTAGACAAGCTTTCAAATGCAGTGCATTCTTCTTCAAGTCTGAGAAGGGAAGCAAGCACAGCAATTGTTAAGAAGAGTGTGAAATTGGAAGGGGGAGAAATTCCCTGGGGTAGCAGACAAACAATTAGCAGAAAAACAGGAGCTTGATTACTTTGGGGATCAAGACCTGTCAAAAGGAAGGAGAATCATTATCATCTGTAGCGTGTAGGAAGAATTTCAAGAATCAGGTAGTATATACATCATAAAATCAATGTTGGTGTTCAGTCCTTGGTTCCTAGCTTTCCCAGCCAGCTGAATTTTTGTTCCCAAGCTTACCTTTTGAAGGTGTTTGGTAGATTTCCCTTAAGCATAAGGGTAGTAAGGTCAAAGAGGGTGTGGTTGTTCTGTAAAAAATGTGCTCCTACTGATGTATGTGTGTATGTCATTTATATTTTTTCTGTAAGAATTCATTCTGGCTTATAGCTGCTGCTTTGTTTCACCCACAGTTACTATTGTTGGGACCCAGGGCAGCCGGCCAGCAGCTCTCCCTGACTCCCACCCGGGCAGTTAAGGGTCCATCAGGTGGGTACTTGTGACTCATGGAGTGGAATTAATTAGGCGGATGCTTATCGGTTGCAAAGCAAGATTGTTTACTCACGCTGTCAAGGTGGTGAAAGACGGAGGTCAGAGATACTTGGTTAGTTACAGCTTAGGGTTCGTAGGTTGGTCTGTATAAGTGGTTGAATAGAAATGGTCGGGCAGAATTATGGTCGGGCCGGCAGGTCGTTGATTTACGTCTGAGATTGAGTCAAGACGCGGGGAACTGACAAGTGATCAAATTGTCGGTTACTCTGACGCATACGTTCAGAGGTCTCCAGGTTGCGTGTGTGGAGGTCTCCCCTTCTTCACGGAAGTGAAGACGGGTTTTATTTGTATTATAGCCAATTGCTTTTCGTCACGTCATAAATTTAATTAGAATTGCCAATTATCTAGCGGTCTTCGCTAGGGTATTATCACAGGGTTACTCCTTGTTTTCTCTGACCAATTACAATGATTTATGTAAAGCACAGAAGGCTAAGTTTCATTTCTAGTTAGTGTCGCAGTTATAAATCTCTTTTTGACATGCGCAGCAAAAAAACTGTTACTATCATTTGTTAACCCTTAGTTAACCTAGTGCAGAAAAAAACTGTTTTGAATGGTTTTACTTGCTTGTGACATGGGCACTACTTAATTTGGTTGTGACAACTATGAGCACAGTTGGTGCATTGGATCAGATACATCACATTTTTGGATGTGGCAGATTTAGGATCTACAGATTTTGATGGATTTATTATGGGGTAGGAGTGTTGATTGTAGCAGCAGTGGAGATGTGTTCAGAGGTTAAACTTCTATTGCTAACGCAAGGCTTTGTCCTGCTTGATAATTGTTGAGCAATGGGGAGCTAACTTTGGATGATGAGTTGGGCAAAGTCAGGGCCTTGTTTGAAAGCCAAGAATTAAGGGGCAAGGAATATTTCTCTCAAGGACTGATCTTTGTCAAGAATAAAAGTTGTTTGATGTATTCTTCTCATTGGTTCCAGTGTGGGGTGACAGGTGGCCACCAGGGTTGTGCAGTCACCAGTGGGCCTCTTTTTGTAATGTAGCAGGTTGCTGCAGGGTACTTGGGTAGTTCTTTCAAATATATGGTCTATTTCTCTATTGGAATGTCCTTTTTATACAAAGGCAGATTTCAGACTGGCCAGATAGGCATCACAAGTGCTCTTTACAGAGCAGATGTGCTGGTATCTTACAGCCAGAAATATAGATTACAGCTTTTTTGTGTGCTTAGGATGGCTGCTGGTCTTATGGACATAAGCATGATGGTCCATGGGTTTTGGGGTTTTTTTGTATATGATGGTCTTTAAGGTGCTTTCATTTTGGGACTTGCACTCCCAGATGTGGATTGTGTTATCTAGAAAGTTGATGTTAGCATAGGATTATTCCAGAAAAAGTCTGATGGAGGAATGAAGGTTGTTAAATTTGTGGTGGAAATCAATAAGTGAGTCTAGGTGTTCAGTCCAGATGATGAAAATACAATCTATGTAAGTACAGACTGATGGTGCAATTTCAAATTTCTTCTCCAGGTGGCTCATGCAAAGGTTGACATATTGAGGGGTCATTTTATGCCCATGGTTTGAAGGAAATATGAGCAAAATTAGCAGACAGGCCCAATTAAGCTGAAAATGTCCTATATGTGTAAGCACAGAAGCACAAATTCCAATCATGGCACAAGTAACTCAGTCTTTCATTCTTCTTGTAAACACAGTTCCATCTAATGTACTGAGAAGTGGTCTTTTGTGAGCCACTCAGAGACTGAATCCTTTTTGCTTCTCATTGCCAGTTGAAGTCCAAGGGTACTTTTCTCAAAAAAATGTGCTCTCTCTGCTGGTTGAACATGTCCTTCAAGTTGTTGGTTGGCACTTTTGACACCAAAGATGCTGTATTTCACTGCTGTATGAGCTTTATATTGTTAGCAAAGGGCCTTGGGATTAAATTAGGGTATAAATGTTATATTAATTATGTATGTGCATTGGAGCAGAAGGCATGAATATTCCATGTCCTGCATACAATTAGTAATATAATCAATCTATATGGACAGAGGTCCTAGATAGATAGCAGAGGAAAGGTCAACAGTAACTACATGAGACTAAGCAAAAACAATGATCACTGGTGTATGGATATGGCCGGGCACCCAGGGCACAGCAGATGCAGTGACTTCTGGTTCATGATCATGAATCTGCAGCTGCTAGCTGCAGTTGCTTTTTTTGCATCCCTGCACCCCCTGACAAGTCAGTGCCCAGGGTGGTTGACCCTGTCATCCCCCATCAGTCACACCACTGACAGCAATGTTGCACAAGAAAGAAGTCAGAGTGCTGCAGTGCTAAGGAACACAGTTTTGACCCTATGGAAGGCATACCTTAGAGTTCTTGTTGTTTAGACATATTAGCACATTTTCCCAGACAAGGTCGGAGTTATACAGAAGGATGTTAACCAGGCTGACTTGTTTTACATGATCATTTTTAAGTGTAGTAGAAATGTGTACTCGTAAAATAACTAGATCAGCATATTAAAGAATTACATTTACAGAGACCGGGTGGGACTAAAGCCCCAGTGATTACCTGGAATATTTAAGCATGACATTCCCAACTCAGTAGGGATGGACTGGGACTCACAAATTGTCTGCTATTTAATTGTCTCTTGGCTCAGCTTGGGAAATGCAAATAGGACTAGGCTGTAAAAATTGGTTCAAGAAACCCTAACAGGATATCAAACACTAAGCAGTATACAGCAGATGGTAAAAGATTTTTAAAAAGCAATCTTCATGAAGTTCACAATAGACTAGGGAGTTAGAAAATAGCAGGTGGAAGGGGAACTATAACAGGTTATGAATTGTCAATAATTTTCTTTTCAGTGGCAATGAAACTGCTCCTGCAATCAACAGAAAGGTTGTAGAGAGACACTGCAATTGGGAATCATGCACTGCAAGTGAGAGCTGACACAAAGATGCAACAACAACTACAAAAGCTGCAGAGGAGGATGCTGTCTGCTGAATTAGAGCACTTCACCTAAAGCAAAATTAAATTTATACCAGGAAATGTAGGACTAAGTATCTGAAAAATAAAAGAAACGCGAACTACCAACTAAGAGAGAGAATTAGTGTATTAAAAAGGTGAGTTCAATGTTTGGGAATGTACTTAGCAACGATGAAAAAATTATTATTTGAGCACTATCAATGTGCTTGTTACCTGTACACACACAGGACATTCAATATATGCCCCAAGGTGTTTACCATCTTAGACAGATATTGCAATTTAGAAATATGTAATATAGAAGTTGAGTCTAAATTTGAAGCTGGCAGAAGTAGGGACAGAGATAGCAAGTTTGCATATGAAAACACACATCATTCTGTCTTCAGTAGAATATGTATATTGTCAGTAGAGCTTATTAAAGGGCGTGAAATGACTGTTGTCAAGATGATACAAAATGAAGTGGATGATGGGGTATAAAATTCTAGTTTTGATATCAAGGAAGCAGAAAGGAAAATTAGAATATAATTATCTTTGTGAGTCTGTATCTAGATAGCCTGAAACAACAACGCCAAAGAGAGATGTGAATTTTCCCATTCATCTTAATGGGGCATCAACTGCAAAGCTTAATTACAACATCTTAAATGCTAATGGTGTTAACTGTTCCACTTCTAAACTCTGTACAAGACATATACATTATGTTCTCATTCATTAGTTTTGGGTTTTTCTTGATACATGCTAAGATTCAATTCATCTGAATGAAAATATAGGAAGATGCTGGTGGCACCCACAGAATTTCTAAAATTAGCTAATTTACCAGCCATGAGGGATAACTCAAAAGTGTCAAATGTAACATTTTCAAACCTCATTTCTATAGTCTTACTCACTGATCTCACATTGCATTTGCTTATGACAATATTTGTCTTTCTCTGCAAAAGATTTTAAACTGCCTCTTTCAACCCCAATCCCTGTGAAGTCTCTTCAAAGTGTTCTGCATCAGAGGCACTGCCAGATTGTAGATAGAGGAAAAACAGTCACATGGTTGTAGCTTGTGGAGATAAGGGTTAAGTGACAGAGGTCAGAAAAAGCTGAGCCTCACTGACCGCTTAGAAAGCTGGCTTGGAGTCACTTCAGAGAGGGAAAATGTTCTGCTGAGAGTGGATTAACAGCTGAATTCCAGAACGGGAAGAGAAAGAGCTTCTCTCTGGCTTGAGTCTACTTGTAGCAGTACAGGCAATCCTCAGACTTACGACACAATTGATTCCTGAAAACCACGTCTTAAGTCGAAACGTTGTGACTCGGAACCAATTTTCTCATAAGAAACAATGTTATAAATGGGGGATTGGTTCCTGAACCAAGGCCCAATACCCTATTTTCACCAAAAATACCCCAGAATTTTGTACTTAATCAATTATAGATGAGTAATATAGCTACATTAATATATGTATATTATAAATAGCAATCATATTGATTTGGAAGGACTTCTTTGAGGTGACTTGGCTGGACTTTTTGAAGGGCTCTTGGTTGGACTTTTTGAAGAGTTCTTGGCTGGAGTCTTCTCAGGAGTCTTGGCTGCAGTTTTTTCTGGAGTCTTGTCTGCTTTCTTAAAGAAAGTGTCCAAGGAAGTTTGGACAGATGTTTTCCAGGGAGATGAGCGACTCAGCAAACTTGTTTGCTGGCGTGGCATTGCATTGGATCAAGCGTTGTATGTCGAAACTGGCACTGTAAAGTTGAAACAGAGTGTCAATTTATAAACATTGTAAGTGCAAAACATTGTAACTTGAAACGTCGTAAGTCGAGGACTGCCTGTACTTGAGCTTTAGTACTAAAGGGTTGTCAAGTCAACCCTCTTCTGAGAGTTTTAAGAATGTAATCCCTTTTCTAAAAATTTATTTTCTATTTAGAAAACTTTCAATTAGCATCTGTGCCACAGTCAGATAAGATAACTTATTGCACTCATTATATCAGGCCTCTGAGAAAGGTAGGAGTTAGAGATGTAAAGGAATTCTCAGCATTCATTCTCAGCTTTCAAAAAAAGAATGATATCACAGTGCCCTCTGGGTTAGATTCTGGTACATGAAGTGTGAAAGAGCCAGCCTCATTTTAAGCCCTGACTGATCAGGTAGCAGGTAGAAAAGGGAGCTGACTCCTTCACATAAAGAGCTGTGTGTATATAAAGAATTAGAAGAAATCCTACTGTAGATTTCCCACTGCTGAGAGGAAATGCTGCCCCAAGTGTGCAGTCCTACCCAAGTTGAGACTGGGAAGGGGTAGGAACATTGTGGGCAGAGAGCACCTGTTGCTGCAGCTGCTCTTGCAAGTCCCAAAGTGCATGGAATCCAGGGCTGAGAGAACAGCCCAGTGAATAGGCTGGGTGCACAGCTGCAGGCAGTTTGGCAGAGATGGCCAGGCACAGTAGAAGGGATTCCTGTGCCGCATACTGACTATGGAAATAGACACCACTAATGTGCTTCTTCAGCCTGTCCCCTGTAAGCTCCCTCTCCAATCAAGAGTAAAGAATGTGCAAGAGGTAAGAAGTAACTTATAAACTGAAGTTAACGGGCAGATCAGATGACACAAGTCCACTGCATTATTATTAAGAGCAGTACATGTAGTTCTTCTCCATGACTGTAGTTTCCTCTCTTCCTACTGTGTGCAGTTATTTGTGCTTATGTGAATTAATATTTATTACTTGGTAATTCCTTGCCTTTAAAAGGCTAGGGAATGGAACCAGAGCCCATGGGTTGGAAATAAAGGCCATATCAGCAAATTCTGGTGTCCCATTATGCAGACTTCTTGTCTTCTCTTTGCAGGGTTTACAAAAAGTGCACCCTCCAACTCCAGCTTCGTTTCCTTTACACATTACTCCTTTCACCATTTCTGCTTAGTCAGTGATACTTGTGAGTGTGCACCATTTATTACCATCATTTTTAGAGTTTCCATAGATTTTTCTGTGCTGCCCTTTGTACCTGGGATTCAGTCCCCAAATCTGTCCCAAAGAAAACTTCCTCTTTTCTAGATTATTAAAAAACAATAATTTTGCAGAATCTCCTACAAAAAGAGTAGAACTGATAATAAAGCCAGAACACATAAACAACTGAGAGAAGGAAAAACAGTATCCAAAAACAGTGTTCAGTCTTCTGCCCATTCATATCCTCTTACCTACAGTGGTATAGAGATTGGGTAATTTTCCCTTAAATAGTTTGAGACCCATTTAGTGAACCTCCCTTTTGTGCTGGGCAGAAGCAACAAGAACCTTGTCAGAGCACACAGGTAGCCTTGTGTCTTTGTACAGTGTAATAGCTGGGATCATGTGTTATCTCGATATTCTTAATGTATCTTCGTAACTACATGTATTTCCATATTTTTAATGTTGCATAGAAAACGTGCAACCTTTTGTTTTCTTTACTTGTTACGCGTCTTCTCACTTGTCTATTTAGTTAATCATTTAAGACCCAGTTAATTATACAAAGTCAGATATGCTTAAGTCTTTGCAGAATTGTACCTTAGTAGGTAAGGCCTTCAGGCCTATTTTCCCTGTGTGCATGCTTGCTTATATAGACTATTACATTTTTCTACACCATTTTCAAGAAGCCAAGTACAACAGAAGCTCTAAACCATTGCACTATAAGAACAAAACCTTTAGAGGTTCATCCACTACAAACTGTAGGATTTTTGAAAGTATATTTTTAAGAGTCCTAGTGAATCGCACAGTATGTAACATAATGTAATCAATACAAGATGCTGCATATAAATAATCTGTTTGGATTCTCACACATTTTAAGATGAGAGAGGGCACCATTCCCAGCAATACTCCCCCCTCCCTCAGAGTTCGCACCTTTTATGGCGGAAAATGATTGTAAAGTAGTCATTTAAGCCAATAACCAAAGCTTATGTTATTCATTTCTCGGTGATATACATAGTGCTCTTTTTGTATACTATTAACCGTGGACATATGTTTTTCATTTGACTATGTTACTTACACACACAATTCTTTTAAAAATATGTAAAATATAACAGCTGCTGCAAAAAAATTATTTTTAGATCTCTGAAGAGCCTAACAAGCTGTAGTGCACAATTAAAAATGGTCTGATCTTTATATCATGTCCATGACCAAGGAAAAAAAAAAGCACAAAAGATATAGGTAAACAAAAGATACTCACTAAACCCGCAACATTCAAAGGGAATAAAACAACATGATTTGGATAGGCCAAATAGGCTGTATGCAGTATATTCTCTGGCTATAGTGGCAGAGTCTTGATCATTAAATACATTATAGAAATGATACAAACAATGGAACAGCCAACTTCAAAAACAGCAGTTGAAAAGCAATTCTATAGCCACCAACTGTGTCTTTGGAGTTGAGCTGTGCTTTGACATTGCTGCTTTCTGATGGCAAAAATATACCTACTTCCTGCCAATAAAAGTGAGAGATTACAGGATAAATATAGAAAACACAAAGTTTTCTTTGGATGAGAACTTTTTCCTTTATGAATTATTGAATAAATCAGATATCTTTGGTATGCATCCCAGCAGAGTGTGATGATCACTAGATTGGAAAAAATGTATTGCGAGCAAATGCTGGCAAAGGTGAAACGTTATAATCCCAAGCCTACAGGCAACTAAAGATGAGAAGATATGCAGCATTGTAATTTTCACTGAATGCCATCATTGGTGGAATTTCACCTTTAGAGTGAAATTTGACCTAGGATTTGGATTTGTGTTGCACTTGGTTGAGTCTTTTTAGGAAGCAACTGCTACAGTTGATATGACAAAGATGCAAATACTTTCAATTCCACAGCTGTATCCTTAGCAGCCAAAACTGAATGTCTACTCTCTTACTTTTCTTCTTGATAAAAACAGAAGAGGTCTTCAGTCATGGAGAGCTGTGAGGGTAGGATGAGAAAATAACAGCTTCAGCTTCCCAACTGAGACCCAAGTATATATGGTATGCTTCACAGAAGGACACCTATACACACAGAACCCCAGGGACTTACCATGGAGCTCATTACTGCTCAAGGCCCAGGAGCAGGTCAGTGCTTTAAAGATTGTGTGATTTTGTGTGTGTGGTGCTATATAAACGAATGCAACAAACTTAATTATCTGTGACCTTTCATACAAATGTCTTCTCAAATGCTTTACAGAATTATTGTTGTACAGCCACAGAAATTAACAACTGCAGGGAGAGGGAGAATGATGCTCCTCTTCTGTGCTTGAACGGTTAGTTATCACATTTATCACAATTGTCTGGCTGTTACCTTGTTCCCTTCATCTATCACATTCGTCCATTGTGTCATCCCTTAAATTTGAATAGCAGGAGATTGTCAGACAGCAGCTCTTGGGGGTGGGGGAGGTGAGTGAATGTGTGTGTGTGTTTGTGTGTGTGTGTGTGTGTGTACATGTACGTACACAGAAAAGTAATATGACCAACATGTTCATATAATGTTCATTGGTTAATTAGTTCACCAATAGCTAAGCTGGGTAGCTAAACCAGAGGTGGTGGTGATTACTTCTAGTTCTGGGGGTCTACAGAGCATCCAGGACTAGGTTTTGGATAGGTTCTAAAAGTTGGATGCTTTACCTGTTAGTAGTCGTGAAAGTGCTACTTATAACTTTTAACGGACATTTTAATGAAAAAGAGAGTAATCCATGCATTGGTGTACTCAAAGGGAGCTTGTCCTAATGTAAGAGAAAGGAAAATGTTAGTGTGAATGTTTGTTTTTTAATGGTAAGATGATAATACTATTTGTACTTGCAGATACTTAACAAGAACACACAATCCCATTAACTGCTTGAGCAATAAGCCCTTGACTATGAGAATGAACTAGTTTTGTTCAAACAGAAAAATTTAAAAGCAATGCAGTAACACATGGTAGAAAGCAAATGGAGTCTCATTATGAGAGGTTTATAATTCTTTCAGGTTTAAATACTCAGAAATAATTATTTAAAGGCAAGGAAAATGTTGACTTGGGTTGAAAAGGTCAAACCTAATATATTTTTCTGTGACAAAATTCTCATTTTTAGCTTACTTGTACTTAGAAAATACTGAGTTCAATGTGAGTTTTTCCACAGCAAGGACTACAGGATATGGCTTGGACTACATATGTCCCATGGTAATAAATCAGTTTAGGCACTCTACAAATAAGCTGCTTCCATGACACTGTGCACTCCACTATTTACATCTCAGTCTTGAACTACGTCAGTTCCAGCAACCATACCAACAGCTGCCACATTCATTAAGATAACTGTGAATAGCGTGAATTTTTTTTTGTGATGTAGAAATCAGACTTTTTTCTAAGTTTGCTACACTTGTTATAACTACTTACGCTGGGTCCGATTCTGATCTCTGGCCACCTTTGCACTGATGTAACCTGCTAACTCGAATATAATGGTACTTCTTATTCTTACTTGTGGGAGAGGAGAATTCAATTTACTTTTCCTGAGCTGGAGAGAAAGGGACTATGCAAGTGGGATGGGGGAGGGAAGAGAGGGAGAAGCAGATTATGGTCCTGATGGCAGGATCATGAGTTACTTTTGATTTGTTATGAAATTTGGGTTTTCTGTGACCGTTTAAAACTTTTTAATCACTTCTGAGTTAGAACTGGGGAAGCAAAAAGGCTGGGAAGAGCAAGGAGGAAATATTTGAGTTTGCTGATAAAACTGAAACGTTGAGAATTTCCTTGCACAGCATGTCTGGGGTTTTTTTTATAGACAGCTCATTTGTTTGTAGTTTATAGTTAGGCAGAAAGCAAGGAAGGGCAGCACCGTATAGATTAACTGGTGCAAAGAGGCATACACTTTCCTAGATAACAGCCTATTTCCAGAGGCATAGTGTGAAAAAAATGAGCCCTGGACAGCTATTCCCTCCCCCTTACCCACTCCTTCATTTTACCTTCTGGATTGCAAGCACAGAAACAGAGCAGAGTACCAGTCAGTCATGGAGTGCAAGGCATTCTGGGAATTGCAGTTCTCTAGATTGTCAATGGAGTTTACTGCAGCCAGGAAGGGGGACGGAGGAACTTTCACCATATTTCTTTTTTTTTTTGCCACTGAAGCCCCTATTGATGGGGGAAACTTTCACCTCATTTTTTTTGCCTCTGAAGCCAACATTGAGAGAGAAGAAAAAGTGATGAATTAGGTGGCAAAAAGTGGGGGTAAATTCTCATCTCCCCCCAGCAGTAGCAAACTCCACTGCTGCTTTGCCAAGCTACGATTCCCAGAATGCCTAAGCCAGCAATGCATGCCTAGAGTTATCAGTGGTGCGAGCAGTACCTCTGGGATGAGCTGTCCCCTTCCGCCTTCCCTATTCTTCTGGTACCCTTCCCCTTAGGTGGCACGTGCCCACTCACCCCCGTCATGTTACGCTACTACCTACTTAATCTGATGCTATGAATGGATTTGCAGAAAGCAGTTGCTCTAAAGAAAAGGAATCTAAATACAAAGTGTAAGGAAACTGAGAGGAAAACATAGGAGAAGAGGGTGCTGCTGTGTGAGATGGAAGGTAGGTGTTACTGATCAGTAGGAATATGCAAAGTATTTAACTAAATGAGGGATGTAGGGTTTATAAAATATTTCTTTGTAGACTAGGATATGCTTAAGGCAAGGAAGTGAAGGGAAAGTTGTAATTAATACTTCTGAGAAAATAGAGTAAATGTATCTTAATCTTTAGCTGCTTTAGAAGATAGCTGGTAAATTCAGAATTAATGATAAACCTGAAGATTTATAGTGCAAAATAAGGTTTTACACTAGGGGGCAGCCTATAACTGATCTGTTAGCTTATACATTCGTGTCTGATCTCAGGAATAGGTTGACCCAGCTTCCAAGAGAAAAATGGATATAGAAGCTGTTAAATCAGCATTACCCATGTGTGGTAAGAGAAGGAAGGAAAAAGTCTTGCACAACATTTAGAAGTGAAGCACAGAAGGGAGTGTCTGTGATAACTGTAGTATGCTGTGGAAATGCAGTTCTATCTCATTCTTAGCAGTAGAACATATTCTGACTTCCCTCTTTTCCAAGACATCTGAATTGTAAAACAATGTGATTGGTTTATTATTTATAAAGGAGTTTGATCTCAACAACAGATGAAATTCTCCTCTCAAAATGGCCAGAAAAAAATCCAAGCTCTCAGTCCAAATTAAAGACTTTTTTCAGCTTTGAAACATTTTAAAGTTTTTTAAATACCATCTTTAATCTGAACTAATACTAAAACTAGAAATTGTTCAACATTTCTATTTCACCCAGACTTGCAAGTTAAATCTAACTTACACTTGAAGTGAATTTGTTCCTATTTGGTAAAACCCTTTAACGGGCCTGATTGCTCGTTAAAAACAAGAAGCAGGAGCCTGCATTCCAAATAGAGCATCACCACTGAGCTCTGGCCTTAATCAAGAACCACCACCTCAAGAGATCATAATCCATGGATGGTTCTGCTTTGAGCACCGAGTTGAACTAGGTGACCTCCTGAGGTCCCTTCCAACCTTAATTTTCTGGTTCTATAATTACTTGAGACCTCTATGCTGAATCTACCAGCAGAATGTTAGCTCGGCACAGTTGTGGTTACGCAGATTTTGGTTTGCAGCAAAAAAACAGGGTGAACTCTAAGCAGAGAGTGGTTAACAACTACTGAATTAATATACTTAAATTATACATTTTACTTGCATAGTGAAATTCAGCAGAAGATCACAAAAATGGTTGGCAAATATACATATTCTTTAACAGTGTTTTAACAGAATAAAGAAACTGGATGAATGAGGTGATGCTCCTGAGGTGTTGCACTGGGACAGTGACAGGGTTGAGATCAAAACTACGTTTCTTGAATCCCAATCTTTAATGGTCTTTCATTGTGGTATGTTTAAGTTCATGTGCTGGTTTTTGACTGAAGAAAAAAATAGAATTGGTAGAAGAGGCTGAAAGTAGAGTCCAGTGGTAGTCTGTACCAAATATTCTTGGAAGATCTAGATTTCACTTGCTGTATTGCTAGAATACACTTGTTGATCAGAAAGAATAAATACTAGGAATGTTAATCTTGTTATCGATTTCCTTTTATCTTCCCCAGTATCTTGGCCTTTTCCCCCATAAGCAGATGGATATGATTTGACTGCAAAACTCTTGGTTTCTCTGATAGATGAAGTATGAAGTTCAGAAATAAGAAGAGGCATATGAGGAGAAGTTGCAGTGAACTTAGTCTAGGAATAGGAACTAGCAAGCCCTGCCATTTGGGCATGGAAAAAGAGTGCTGGGGAGAAATATTAATGTTAAACATACACAAACATTAAAAGAATATAAAGACTGTAAAGGTCACTTGGCCTTCCTTGTGCATATGCATTATGATTTCAGCTTTAACTACTTGAGAACATAATATTTTTTTATTCAGGACCCTTGCCTGTGTCACTGTTCATAATGGACTCATTCTGGAGATGATTCAAGTTTGTGAAGAGGTAAAAGCTGTTGCTGCAAACATTCGAAGGTGAACAGTGAATGAGGCAGGGGATTACTGAAAAAGACGGGAAATTCATGGTAAAAGTAATGTGTTGTCCTCCAGCTCCTCTTCTAACTCTTTGTCTCCTGTTCTCTGCTTCCTGTACCCTGGGTCCAGCTGTTGTCTACTCAGCATTTTAAAAAATGAATAAGCCCTTGCTCCAAAGCAGAAGAGTGCTAGCTGCATGAAATGGTTGCAAGAATTCCTTTACTATGCCAAAACAGCATAATTTTCCCTTAACCTCATTTTTGGAAATAACTGAACTATTTTGGCTGAAGTTTCCTTAAAATAGACAAGCATACACCAAAGCTGAAACGTTCTATTCTGCAGTCATTTAATCTTTTAAATGTGATAAGCAATTTGAAACAGGTTTCGTGAGTGTGGGAATGCCAAGCAACAACCGTATACCAGGCAGCACTGCCAGCTCACCTATAAGTATTGTACCAAGGGCCCACTATAGAGCATTGTAGGCTCAGTAGCTGAAAATCCCTCTTCTGTAACACGAGGAATGAATTAAACACCAAAAAAGTAAAACAAAGGCAGCATGGATAATGACACCCTGACCCTAGCCTGGGCAGTGGTGGAAAGGACATGAGGAACCTTTCTCATACACTCTCCCACTGTGTTCATGTAATTAAAAACAGCATCATAAGGTATACGAGGCCCAAGGACCGTCTTGCGCCTGCCCTCAAGCCCAGGTAGTGTTCTTTCTTCAAGAGCCTCCAAAACAACACATTAGTTTA